TGTTTGCAGGGGTTCTTAATGTAACCTACAGTCAGTTCTTCGGATCCTTACGCCCTCCAACCGGGCCTTTGATAGTCGGTTCCAGTGGGCCGCCCGGGTCCCTCTTCAGGACCTCATCAAACACTTCTCTTGGTCGGCTCGGGGCATTTATAAGCGCAGGGCCCTCCGTTAGGCGGTGTGGGCCCCTGAAAGATACAAGGCCCCCGACCAGTGTAAATTACTGGCCCGGGGTTTATAGCTGATTGGAGAGCGGGTCGTCAGGCCAATACCGACACAGAGCCGACTATGTGGCGCGGTGGTACCTGACCGACATATAGGCCCATATCGACTCAGAGGGTCCACAATGGGCATAAAAGACCCTCTGACCGTTATGTGAGGATCCATCTTTGCATGTCTTGGCCCCTGAACAAGACTCCGATCAGCACTTCATGCTATTAGACCCCCCAATTGGGCCCTTGATCGTGAGACCGGGTGGGCCCGCTAGGGTCTTTGGGTCTTCACGAGCACTGGCTCTGGCCGACTCGGAGCCCCTTGACAACACGGGCGCTCGGGGTCCCTTTACGCTGCTCGGGGCAAATCGCTGGCTTGGCTAGTATGCATGATTTTATCAATTACGCGACCACGAGCATGTTGGCTAACTGTGGCTATTATCTCATGCATAACATTCAGCAAACGGATCGGTCTTTTGACTGTCAGCGACATCTGATTTCCTTTTTTGGAGTGAGCGTTAAGATCTCCCGCCCGGGTGAAATAAATAGCTATTGTCTACATCTTGCGTCGTTTATATAGCTCGTTATCACATCTTCAATGTGTTCCCAGAAAAAAACTGTAAAATTCGGTGATAAATCCAAATGCTCCAGGTGATTTGCTATGTGCCATTCGGTTTTGTACGTTCTTACACTGCTCTCTGGTTATTAGGTCCCTCATACAGCATCTTATCTTCCTCCAATAATTGTGGAGCATCGTCATCAAGTGGGAAACTTTTTTAAGCCTGATTTTCACCTTGAATTGATTTGTACAGACGTTGGAAGTGCGTAGCACACTCATCCAGCATACCTTTGCTTCCACTTTTAATGTTATCTCGTTTTTAAGAGCCGATGTTTCCCGGAATGTCTTACGTCTAGAGTTCATGAAGATTGCTGGTGTCTAGACTGGTGAAATCGAGACGACCAAGTACCAGTAAAATGCAGTGCTCACTTCGAACGTTCGAACGTTATCAGGATAGAACTCTGCAACAGCATGTGCCTTGGACATTTTGACATCAAGAACTAAAAATTTTCAGTCAGTTTCCCATAGACGCCTATTACTTTCCTGCCTCCGCATCGGTATCTTTAATCCGGAAGTAAGTAGCGTTTATGGTAAGCATTGCAAATGTCAGTCCTGTGTCATTATTGAGGAAAGCCAAGGTGCGCTCAACCTGGCATGATATCCATTTTAGGTGTTTTAGTCCTTGTGTAGCCTAGAATAAGTTACAATATAAAGCAAAAGTTTTTTACCATAAACGAACGACTTGAGTCCGGACTTCTGCATTATTGACTTGGTAAACAGATCCTTGACAGTAAAGTCAACAGTTTGAATAAATGATGGAGTTCGGCTAAAGTAAGCCAAGATTCAGCTTCTATCATAAGACAAAAGACAATATCTCAGCAACATCTATTGACGCAGCCTCGCGCTATTCTCCAATTGCTGGCTCACCAAATGGGACGCCATGCGCGGGACACATGTCGGAAAAAAACAGCTGGTCTGGTCCGCATTATTTCGCATCCTACCCATCTCGTGTTTTCCAGCATGGTGCGCCAGCTCCAGTCATGACCTACATCGTATTATCGTTACTGGCCCGGCCATCAGGGATTATTCGAAAGGTATCTTTTCAACGAATATGGCAGAAATGGCCAGAGCTCTTGCAAGCAGGGTAACCATCCATGGCACAAAACTAGCCGCGTGGATGCGTTTAGGGTGTGATGTTAGGCTACCCGGCTGTGCTTTCAGTAGGGTGTGATGTTATGCTACCCAGCTGGGCTTTCAGTAGGGCGTGGTGTTATACTACCCAGCTGTGCTTTCATTAGCACTGAATTTGCTAGTGAGATTTTTTCTAGGAAACAGAATCACGAAAGGTGTGTTAGTAACCAGAAACGCAGCACTTGTACGGTTATAGTCCCCCTTCCCCCTCACCTCGTGCTCCTTCAGCGAAGCGCGCCTACGCAAGTCAGAAGCCCTGTCGCGTGTCCTGTGCAGTCCTGTGCCGCTGCCTGAGTGGCATCGAAGGCCCCACAATAGCCTCTCCGAAACATAGCTGGTAAACGTGAGAAATAAGCATCGTCCTTACCTTTGCGGGCCCGTGAATTCTTACGCTTCAAACAGCCGGCGATAAATATAACAGGACGTACTGCTTAAACGAAGATATCAAGCAATCATTGATGCCTGGTACGAGAATGCTTGCGACTAGCAACTGGTAGGAGCTTCCGTTAGATATTTCTGTGCTTGTGTGCTTCAGCGCATGCACCAAGCTGCGTCTGATGTGTGCAGTCCATCACAAAATGTTTGACGTGAAAGTCACGCATCGGTTGGTGCATTTAATCGTCGCAAGATGGACGGAACGGCGCCTTTAAAACAAACACTTATAAAGGACATACATGCATGGTGTGACTGACTACTACCCTTGTGCTGAATACAATCGCATACCCGGCGAAATTGTTGCGGTCAAAGCCTCAATATTTTAGTGTAACTCTCACAAATAATTGTCTCTTGACATGTGAATGCGGCACAAATGCTCTGCATCGTGTGTTCCTGCGCATGCTTCAGTGAGCTTGAGCTTGGGTGTAGTTGTAGCGCTTTGCAGAATTTCTGCCCGAGATTGCGTGTCTTGAGCGGTCCCCAGTCCACAAGTTTGACTGTCAATTGAAGCCTCTCTATGCACGTAACCATCCTGCGAGGAATTGGTACGATTCAAGATGAGAAGTTGCTATCGTGTTCTGGTGGGACTTGTGATCACCTTTCGTTCGCTCCCAACATTATTTGGCTTGAATTGTTGCCTGCCTGACACAGGCCACTGCATGCTCTTGCGTTTTGCTTCAGGCATCGCCAAGCATCAGCTTCGCTATAGAACTCTGCTTTCTTGCCCGGCTCTTTGTCATAACATCACTCACGTGTTGCCTGACCCAGCTCTCGCCCTGTGATAAGAAGCGACTGTCGCCACACGTATCCACAAAAACACGGCGGTGATAGCTGATGCTTAGGTGCGGCACGGATGCTATGAAGTTTTTAGCTCACGTGAGCATGTATCTTTAAAACGCTGATGCATCCAACCCTACAGCAGCATATGCGTGCCGAGAGGCCGAACATTTGTGAATCCGTGCTCGGCACAGCGGGGCGAAGGCAGTCACTCTGTTCGAGACCCGTTGCAGCTTTGTTCAGAGCTAGCTGTCATCCACACGTGAACAAAGGGCATGCCCAGATTTAGCGCGAACATCAGACAGTTTCTGCGCGAAGTGATGCATTGCTGAACACCCCTAATTCCCAGCACATGTCATGAAAACGCCAATGTGCGTATACCATCCTCAGCACAACCAGCTGATGTCGCTCATTGTTTGTTAGCTGAAATGCGCCCTGAATCGACGTATTAACAGCCACTTATCCAGGGATGTCGATTTTTGTAAGTTGTTGCCGAGGTGAAGGTCCGACAACCTACCCCCCCCCCCCCCTCCCATTGCTTCTCACCGAACTTAGCCCACTTTATTTTGATTAAACGCAATATATGTTTTTAATCTTTGTATAAATTATAAAGTATTTAATTTAAGCAGCATAGAAGTCATGCAGGGTTGGATCCAGACAGCAGGCCCTGGACGCACGCGTCTCTCCTAATCGGCACGTGAAGGCCATCTTTAGAGGCCACCTGATTTGGTCGATGGCGCTCTTCTATGATGGTCATGAGAGGCGGCACGCATTTTGTTTGAGGGGGAGGGGGACAGGGTTAGTCATGAAGGACTTAGGTCGTCCACATATTCCAGAGCTTTTCACTTCAGCCTCACAAACCATTGTGTGCCTTATGGCGCTGGGTATGTGAAGTTTATTGCATCGTTTATCCGCTCAGCTGTTCCGATTTACCTCTTGTGGTGAGGGCAGCCATGAGTTTTTGTTATGAGAGTGGTAAAAAACACCATTATGTAGAAAGACCAAAGAAGATTGTCTCCTTATTATGATCATGTTTTACCCACGTGTTTTGTAGTATTCCAGCCGAAAGCACTGGGGGAGGGGCAAGCCAACATTTGGGGGGGGGGGGGGTAACTCAGCACTGGGGAGGGGCCAGGGCCCTCACAAAAGCATACCAATCGACACCCGTGCACTTATCCAAACAAATGAGCTTGTGATCAGTGTGTGTGTTACATGTAGATGTACCTGCACGTATTGCATCCAAAAAATACGTTTATGTATAATTTATTCTCTTCGTTACGCTTGATTTATTCTTTTGTGTTTTCCTTCAGGCCGCGCCAATCGTCAGCTTTGCTACAGAATGCTGCTTCTTTGCCCGCTTCTGTCATTACTTCTCCCACGTGTTGCCTGATCCAACTTTCGCCCGTGCTAAGAAGCAACTGTCGCCACATGTATCCACAAAAAGGCGAACAGCTGTATCGCACTCGCAACATCCTCCAAGGCTGAGCCAGAAGTTACACGCCGAACACCATTCTGGATGGCTCGGCCTTTCTACTACGCGGCCACTCGTCCAGCACCTCCCACTTCCCCCTCCCCGGGCTGGCCGCGTGCCGGCGGTGAGGGGGCGGGGTGAATCGAGTCAGGTCAATCGCCGGCCGGGAGGAGCAGGGGGCGGGGGAGGGGAGAGAGGACGGGGCGGGGGGAGGGGAGGGAGGATGGGGCGGGGCTGTCGACATCGATCGGGTCCTGCGGCGGCCAAGAGCGGGCGCCGGTCGATACCGACGCGCAGCTGCGCAGCTTTCGTCTCGCGCCGGAAGCGGCCGCGATAGCGTTGCCCGCCGCCACCGACGCCGACGGCTGCCAGCGTGTCTGTGTGAGCGGCGGCCCGCGTCCAGCCATCGCTGCAGCGCTGCGCCTCACCAGCCAACATGGCTGCCGACGACACCGCCGGCGAGAGCCAGCAGAGCAGCGTCGAGGCCCTGCGCAAGGAGATCGAGTCCCTCAAGGTCAAGCTGGATGAGGAGCGTCAGAAGATGAACGACGTGACCGGTAGGTGGCGACTGGCAGAGCTATGAGCAGAGCCACCTCTCCCCCTCTCCCCGTGTCGCTACGGACTTTCCTTCTTCCATCGCGCATACCCGAGCTGTCGGTCCCGCAAGTCGGTGGCCGATTTCGAACTCTAATTTGTTCATCAGCGATCATGCGCGGAGAAAGCGATATGCCAGGTGTGGTAATGGTCATACAGACATCGCAGTTGGCATGATGCGCCACACTGACCTTCAACTGGCGACGACTGTCAGGGCCAAATCAAGTCAGTGATGGTGTGTTGGCAATGTGTCAGTGGCACACAAGCTGTAACAGGTGCACGTTCGGCATGAGGAACAAGATTTTCGTCAATTTCCGAACCGGCCAACAGGCCGATCACATTGATAGCTACCTTGGTAACAAATTCTCAAAACTGCGAATGGGAATACCTGCGAAATGCGAACTCTTATCGGACCGAACTGGCCGAATTGCGAATTCGCCGATCACGTCGACTTCCCGGCCTCGGTTCGGATAGAAGCTTCGCTTGTTTGGTCCGCCCCTCCCTAAACATGCCAAATGTGTTTGGCTTCATTAGATTAGTCTTGGCATAACTCGCATGGCACCACCTGACGCCTTCCATCCCTGTTATCGCCTCAGTCATCCGGCGTCGCATAAAGCGTTTTCCTGACTCCATTTAATTGATGTATTTGCAACCGCTGAGGTCAGCGGCAATGCTATCCCACATACCACTGAAAAGGCACAGTTGAGAGTGCCGGCGAAAACAAAAACTAATGCTTTCCAGCCTCGATTGAGAAGCCTGCCACGATAGCCGAAAGGATCCGGAGGATGAAAACACGCAATCGCACTGAAATTTGCGTCCCCACCATTCAGGTCGTTCGAAGCTACCACTGGCTTCTTTCTAACAGGGCTGTTGACGGCCGGCAGGCCATAGCGGAACGGATCGTTCCTGGGAAAACGAGGCTACTGGCGCATCCGCCGGTCACTTTTGAGCTCTGATTTCAGACATCATCCCTACCGGCCACTCCGGCACTCGGTTCTCAGCACTGCGCTATCCTCCCTTGAAATCCGGCATCCGACGCTCCCATTAGCCCTTTCGTTGTACATCCTTGCGCTAGGCTAGAGGACTTTCTTGGAACCAGTCCCAGGCCGCCCCAATTTGTCTTTGAGGCTCGTTAAATTGTTAACGCACGTAAGCGTCTCGCCAATAACTTCGGCGCTGCGCGTTGTTACGCCATGCTGCAGTAGAAAGGGGGGGGGGGGGCAGTGGAAAGTCTCGCATTTGCCCGGGGGTGGGAGGGCGCGGGCGGCGCTGAACTCATCTTGATCACGAAACAGACTGCTGAGACAAGCTACCTGGTAACCACGAGTTTTAATTATATTTTCTTAAGCGTTTAATGCCTCAGGGCCCCTTGGTTTTTCGGGTCCTTGAATTCATGGTTTTAACACGCGCTCGGGCGAGAGTCAAATTGACACCCGAAAGCTTTTCGGAACTATATCTGAATGGCGCGGCTACGCCGCGCCAAATTTCACATAGCCGTAGACAATTAAAAAGCGAATCGCCTGGCATCAACAGTTTAGATGTACCTTGTAAGGTCGTTGACCTATGGCAGGTCAAAGTCAAGTCATGGTTTCAGCGAAGACAATTTCTAGGGAATGGCCTAATCTGATCCAGCAACCGGGTGTTAAACGAAGCCACACATTTAAATACTGTCTTAGGCAACATAACAATTGACTGGACAAATTAAATTGACCTAGGGTCAGGTATGAAGGTCAGACCAGTGTCAAAACCAACGAGTTTTATTACTTTAGGGCTTGCCGTATGGGCCAGTTTCTGGTGCTCATTTATATTTTTTGATAACAGGAACCGCATAATACACGTCCCATGGACTTCTTAAAAGTCAGAATAGGTCACTGACCTGAAGTGCCCCAGGTCAACATTTTGTTTTTAGGGGTCATACCGCCTAGCGTAATGTTCGTCGCTTATTTAAGTGCAAAACTCAAAGCAGTTCCTCTGTAATTTTGGTCATCATGACCTTCTCAAGGTTAAAAAGGGTCACCGACCTTGAATGAGCAAGTGACATCTTGCTTACAACAGGCATCTGGGTTCTGGGGACGTTTTGGAGACTAACTTGGAGTTTGGCCTTGTTTGTCCATATTTAACCCGAAGGTCATGCACTAGGAGGCTCAAACTTTGATCTAAGTGAATTCACGTACAGGCAAACACACCCTGTGAATGTGGTGTCTCTATCCATCTTGGTTCCTGAGATCTCAGGGGGATTAAATTGACCCCCACCTGAGCGAAGGGTGTCCAACCGGCCATCCGGGCGCGTGTTAAATGTCGTGGGGCCTGGACGTTGTCAAGACCGTCCGATAAAGATACTCTGAAGACTGGTGTTTGTCAAGCGATCATGGATACGGCCTGTGCGCCACACTTCGCATAATGCGCCAACACATAGTGCCCGGAACTAGTTTTTCGAACTCATGAACTTCATAACAAGTTGAAGACCGCTTATCAATGCATACTACTGTGACGCTCATTGATGTCACCCAGTAGCAAGCGCTACATACGTCACCACGTGACCTCTGGTGGACCATCCACAGCGCCCCCAAAGGCCTTCTGACCCTTGTCCTCAGTGATCTGCATGACCTCGTAGCCCCAAGTTGCATCGCGCACGGTGACCTCCGCGAGTTCGTGGCTCCTAGTTACGGCGTTCACAGAAATCTCTTTGACCTCATGACCACCGACTACAGCGTTCACGGTGACCTCCGTGACCTCGTAGCCCGCGACTTCGTAACGTCGCAGGTTTCCGCGATGACCGCCGTGACCTCGTGACCCCTGGTTTCAGTATCCACAGTGGCCGGCCGCCTGGAGCCGATCGGTCCACTCAACATCAAGTCCCGTCGCGTGCTCAAGGGCCACCAGGGCAAGGTGCTGGGTCTCGACTGGTCTCAGGACAAGCGTCACGTGGTCTCCTCCTCCCAGGTACGCCAGGCCAGACAGTCCGTGACGTAACGCTTCGTGGCCGGTAGTCAGAACGGATGCAGCGCGCCTGGTGGGAGTCCGCTGCGCAAACGCGCTGTTCGGAGAACACGGGACTGCCAAAAGCCCGACCTCAAGTGTTGCGACACCGCGTAATGTTTTGTTACGCCATTTCGATGGACAGCGTGAGGGAGACTGGCTGGGAAGCCCGCGCCCTGACGAGTGTTCCTCGTGTCCTCAGGGGGGGGGGGGATGGGGGAATGTGCGACGTCACGGCCGACGTCACTGGTTCTCTTTTGCACGACCTTGTAGCCGGAGGCCGGGACGGTGGGGTGACTGGCGAGCAGGGGAGCGTTGACTCACCCCCAGTGCCGTGACGGCAGCAAGCAAACACGGCGCTGGAGCGGCGCGAGCACTGCTGCAAACCACGCTCGCATGCGGTGCATGCCCAGCCAAATAACAGTGCAGGATTGGGCGCGCTGTAACCGCCGTCAGTCACGAGTGCCGAACGGTCCGTGAACAGCCAGATCTGACATGAGGCCCGCATGGGGCGGGCTGATCCTTACCACGTATAACACTGATTCCAGCTGTTTTACGTGTTAGCGGCGATAGCTAATGCTTAGGTTCGGCACGGATACTATGAAGTTTTTAGCTCACGTGAGCATGTATCAGTAAAACGCTGATGCATCCAACCCTAGAGCCGTATATGCGTGCCGAGAGCCGGAATATTTGTGAATCCGTGCTCGGCACAGCGGGGCGAAGGCAGCCACTCTGTTCGAGACCCGTTGCAGCTTTGTTCTGAGCTAGCTGTCATCCACACGTGAACAAAGGGCATGCCCAGATTTAGCGCGAACATCGGACAGTTTCTGCGCGAAGTGATGTATGCTGAACACCCCTAATTCCCAGAATATATCATGAAAACGCCAATCTGCGTATACCATCTTCAACACAACCAACTGATGTGTCACTCACTGTTTGTTAGCTGAAATGCGCCCTGAATCGACGCATTAACAGCCACTGATTCAGACAACTGAACTTGTAATAAGTGTATGTGTGTGTGTTGCATTTAAATGTACCTAGGCGTATCGTATCAAAAATTACTTCTACGTATCATTTATTCCTTTGTCATAGACATCCTGTTTATTTGACAAGCACGGGAATAGGTCATTCAGCAAAATGTAAACGAGTACAGTATAATTACTGGCTGAATGATTGTCACCGCTATCCTTCAGCCTCACTCTGCATGAGGCGTCTGAGAGACGCGCAAACATGATGTTGACCCATGACCCTGCATCCTCTCACCATGTCCCATGATGTTGACTCCCGCTGCATCCTCTCACCATGTCCCATGATGTTGACTCACCCTGCATCCTCTCACCATGTCCCATGATGTTGACTCCCGCTGCATCCTCTCACCATGTCTCTTGGTTCGACAGGACGGTAAGATGATCCTGTGGGACGCGTTCACGACCAACAAGGAGCACGCGATCACCATGCCGACCACGTGGGTGATGGCGTGCGCGTACGCCCCCAGTGGCAACGCTGTCTGCTGCGGGTAGGTGAAGCGGCCCTGGGGGATTGCACCAGGTACATCAGCCGGTCGGCTCGTCCGGCGGCCTTTGTGAGCCCTTTGTCGTGGTCCGATTATATAATTGTCGGTGAATGTGTCGAGATTGCCCTTTCAGTTATGGTTAAGCAGTTTTGGATGAAGGATTGTTCCGAGAAGTATTTGGAGCGTTGAAAAATATTGAAGCTGGTTACGAAACAATAATTCAAACAACTCCAACCAGGCGTTTCGCGCCAAAATGTTTCTCAACGTCGTGCCAGCTGTTTGCAACAAAAACTACACCGCATCGGCGCAGGTTCATGAAAGGAAATATGGTGATAGAGGCCGCTTGATGAACATTTAAACACAACTTCCATTTTTCATAATGTTTTTGAGCGTTTCGCGCAAATAAACCTTGAAAATGGTTCATTAAAAAGCATGCATCATCTGTCAGATGCCTAAAGAAAAACATTCAAAGCGCTTGCTCTCGCGTGCGTGCGTGTTTAGATAAGATACCCGCGTGCGATACCCCCGACACGCGATTCGGGCATCACGAATGAATATGAAAGATGTCGGCGTAGATGCCCGCCCATATTTCGCGGACCTAATCATCTGCCCGCCCGACAGCGGGCTCGACAACAAAGTCACCATCTACCCGCTGAGCATGGACGAGGACATCTCCTCCAAGAAGCGCACTGTCGGCACGCACACCAGCTACATCTCGTGCTGCTGCTTCCCCAACTCGGATCAGCAGATCCTGACGGGCAGCGGCGACGCGGCGTGCGCTCTCTGGGACGTCGAGTCGGGCAGCCTCCTGCAGAACTTCCTGGGCCACCAGGCCGACGTCATGACACTCGACCTGGCTCCCTCTGAGACGGGCAACACATTCGTGTCCGCGGTGAGCAGGCTTCTGTGTCCATGGGGAGGGGGATGCTGTGTCCGTGGTATGAGACCTACTGTTGCTGTGGGAGAAGGCTGTTGTGTCCTAAGCAAGAGAGCTGCTAAAAGCGGTGAGAAGGCTTCTGTGTGCGTGGCGAGAGGGCAGATGTGGTCTTGGCGAGGGGGCTGCAGTGGCCCTGGTGAGGGTGGGGGGGGGGGGGGGGGGGGGCGCTGTGAGAGGTGTGGTGAGAGGGTTTGTGTATCTGTGGTGAGAAGGCTGATATGTCCGTGGTGAGAGGGCTGACATGTCCTTGGTGAGAAAGCTGTTGTGTCCGTGTTTAGAGGGCTGCTGTGTCCGTGATGAGGGGGCCAATGTGTCCGTGGTGAGAGGGGACACTGTGTCCGTGGTGAGAAGGCTGCCATGTCCGTGGTCAGAGGGACAGAACCATGCTATGTCGTTGAACACGCCATGGCGTGTAGGTGTAGCAGTTGAATACTGGATAAGAGGACCTGGCAGCGGGCTCTGTTGACCACCAGTAGCGTTCTACTTGCGTCATAGCGTGTTTTTCAGGGCCTTAGCTCTGCTCCGATACTGTTGGTCTTCGAACCAACAGAATGGTAGTCGTGTGAGTCAGACGGGGCTGAGTCATCGCTTTTTTGGCGAGTGTACTTTATGGAACCCTTCTCAGGTGCGCTGCCAACCTCTCCTATAGACGTTTTCATATAGTGGAACAAAAGCCTGCGCCGTTTGTACATAGCACCCCGTAAGTAGATGAGCCGGAAACGGATCAGTTTTCCTGCGACGTTTCGCACTTCAGTCATTGGCTACAGCTGATCAAAGAAACTAACCGTTTTACGGCCCATGGGCTAAGCGGTTTGATTAAAGACAACGCGATAAGACAGTAGTAATAGCCTTATTCCTCGCAGAAAAACCAGGAGAATGGAGATAGAGTTGGGTTACCCAACTATGTCTCCACTGCCCAACGTAAAAGCAGTGCGAATGTCAAAATTCCGTCTTTGAAGTAAGCGGTCTGACCCCGACTGAGCGCCCCGACGCCCTTCGGTCCGCAGGGCTGCGACAAGACAGCCATGCTCTGGGACATGCGAACCGGCAACTGCGTGCAGACCTTCGAGGGGCCGGCTGCCGACATCAATACCGTCAAGTTCTACCCCAGCGGCGACGCCATCGCCACCGGTTCGGACGACGCCACGGTGAGGTGGCAGCACCAGCATCCCTCCCGCGGTGCGCGGCGCGCGTAGAGCTCCTGGGTGGCTGTGTTTAAATCAGATTGCATCCTTTGTTTCATTTTTTCACAGGACAGGACCGGACAGGATTTATGAAGCTGAATGCCTGGTTATAAAGTTGCCTGTACTAACAGACCTGCTGGTTCAGTTGTTCGAAGAGAGTGATAGAAATTGACACAAACTAAACGTTTACGTGAAATGTCTAGCTGGTCGACGTAGTCATCAAATAAGTTAATTAGTGGCAAGTTTGGATCAGTGTTGTTCATTTTGCCTTGCTTGGCTGTTTCCCCAAAGCTGTTCTTCAGTTCAAGACGTAGGAAATTGTAGCACAACGCCCTAACTTATAAAGCATGTTTTTGTTGTCAAGATTTTGCTTCTTCACGATGTAATATCATAACGCAAAGTGCCAGCGACTTAGTCAGTATTTCGCCCAGGTACGGAGGCACAGAGGATCCCTCCAGCTGAGGGACCCCTTCTTCTGCACAGATCGGTCTTTTTGTTTTAATTAGGGACTTATTCGACCTCGAAATGCTATTTTATTCTCTCTGGGGCCCGCATTATTGTTTTACATGCCATGTTGGTATCCTAAACTGTCAAAGACTACCGGGACATTCCATCTCAGGAGATCCCAAGTTAACTCCAGGGAGGGAGGAAGGGGGACGCGGCCTTAGGAGCTCCCGTTGGCGACGCTAACACAAGGTATTGGCCTTAAAGCGAATCAATTTGGAGGGCCATAATACCTGGCGCTACTTTCTGACGGCAACAGTTTTCTCTGTTCCTTTACCGCCAAACCAAGGCGTTTGATTATCGATATGTCAGGTATTTGTTTGTTTGGTTTGACCATCTGTAGTTTGGTAACAGGACCGCTTGCTCGGCCCAGGCTCCTTTCGTTGCATTTGCTCGCTCGTTCTAAATAATCTTACCCAACCCACACGGGATCGCTGTGTAAAAAGCCGTGTATCAATGCGGCATGTGATATGGTTGTTTAGATTTGCAGCTTCCGCGATTTTTTGTGGTGTTACAAACCTAGCGGGTCTTAAACGTCAAGTACTGAAAAATGTTGTAACTTCAGCGGCGCGGACAGACCAGACATGTCTTGGCAAACCTATATATTGATACGCTTTTGTGCCGCCATGGCACTTAGTGTAACAAGCATCCAAAAAATAAATGGTTGCAACACTGCAATTTGAAGGCTTTTAAACGCAGCTGCATGATGAACTGTAATATTTCAGCAAAGACGTAGCATCACAACTTCACCCACCCCATTTGATTGGAAAAGGAGATGTTCAGTTTTCGTGTTGAAGAGCCTGAAGGGCCCGGTCAGGAAACAGGTCGGTGCTGGCAGAAAAGGGGATCGACGCGTGCAAACGGTCATCCGCTACCTTTCACGAACCTCAAACCAATCCTCTCGTTTTCGGACGTTTAAAAGAGCCGCAAGAGGCGTCTTATTGATATCACATAACCGTCGCAAATTCGCCTGTAAAACCTGGTATTATTACGCTTCTGATCTTATCTCGCCGACGCATGACTGGTTGATATCATTCGCTTTGCTCGCTCATGCTCCAGTCGTGGCTTGACCGTCTCGTGCCCCCAGTGTCACCCGTGCCACCCTCTCCCGCTATCCGTGTGACCTGGTGATATGACCTGACCGTCCCAGGCCGCCAGTGTCGCCTGTGTCACCCTCTCTCGCCACCTGTGTGACCTGGTGACGTGACCTGACCGTCCCGGGCCGCCAGTGTCGCCTGTGTCGCCCTCTCTCGCCACCTGTGTGACCTGGTGACATGACCTGACCGTCCCGTGCCGCCAGTGTCGCCTGTTCGACCTGCGCGCTGACCGCGAGGTGGCCTGCTACACCAAGGACAGCATCATCTTCGGCGTGAACGCGCTGGACTTCTCCGTGAGCGGACGCCTCCTGTTCGCCGGCTACAACGACTACACCATCAACATATGGGACTCACTCAAAGCCACGCGCATCTCGGTGCTCTACGGCCACGACAACCGAGTCTCGTGTCTGCAAATGAGCCCAGACGGCACCGCCTTCTGCACCGGCAGCTGGGACTTCACGCTGAAGGTGGGTCTCTGCTTGCCCTTCAGACTCGGGCGGAGGGAAGTGCTGTGTGGGTAGCGCTGGGACTGGTAAGGCCGATAATGGGATGAGCGTTGTGTGGACGAGACTGGCAGAGAAGTGGCTAGCTGTGTTGGACGGGACTGGATGGGGTGCTCTAGTTTATGGAGGTTGAGGCTTCGGCGCGTTTTTGCGTCTATAGGTTCCTGGATTTTAGAATGAAGAGCTTTTTTCATTTGCTAGCATGTTTTCCATTTGAACCTGCACCCACACTTGTGCTGATGCCCATACATGCGTGTGCGCTAGGTGGAGTGTCACAATGGGCGCGATTTAATGTGCTTCCCATATCACCTGTCATGTAAGAGAGGTGCAGAGAGCTATGTATGGTGACCTGGCGCGCTGTCGTTTGCAGGTGTGGGCCTGAACGGCAGGCTCAGGCAGTGAGACGTTTCTCAAAAGGGCACAAAGAGGGACCAGCGCGGGCTGGGCACGGTGGCCGCGACAGACCAGCGCCGCTGCTCCCGACCGCCGGCCGCAGCACGCCTGCAACGGCTGATGTGAACTCGATCTCTATTGTCCAGCAGATCTCTGTTAGCGCTTAGCGACCTGCTGTCCTTAGCGTTTGTTTCGCGCACAGGCAAATGAGCTTGGGCAAACAAGGTTTCTCTATTTTGTTTTCTGCCCCGAAGCTAGGGCCAGCTGGCTGCACTGTTGGCTAATTGCGTCCATCGTAACGCGCACGGCTAGGCTAATGTCACCCTGCATTACGTCGCTTTTTCCATGGACCTCTCTTCATTGCCGGGAGATGGCCGAGGAGAAACCTTCGACCATCTCCTGGCCAAGCTGAGCATCCCAGCGCCGTCTACACATCCCGATCATGGATTGTGCTGCCACCTGGGAAATATTAGGTAAACCAGAAATTCGTACGGTGGTCCACTTTGATGCAGGGACATTTGATCTTTTGATAAAGGGACGTTGCGAAGGGCAGTGCCGTGGGGTCATGCCATTCGCTCTTTTGAAACAACAGGCTGAGCTTTAAAGTATTTGCGATATGCAATGGGTGATTTCCCGGGAATATGACGCAAATTTGCAGGATTTCGGAGAACGCTTGGTATTAGGCCCACCCACCCCAACAAAATCGGGGTTACGTGACCGATTTTATGCATGGCGAAACAATGCTATCAGAGTAGAATGTCTGATGTTTCAATCGCTTACCTGCTGCATGGCAAATTTCGGTTTTCTATAACGCACCACGCACAACTTGTCTAAAATTGGCCTCCTCCGCCTGCCTGTTTTGAGGCTCATTTGGCGCAAGATCGAATGGAGCTGGCCTGAATATTGGAGAACCAAACATACTGGTCGGAGCTAGAAGGACGGAAGACGGGATGAGTGTATGCTTCATACCATGTGTTGGCTTCACCCCCGCGGCCAGTGACAAGTCATCCGTGTGCTATCCTACGGCGAGATTTTGGTTTTGTCCTGTGACGTCACCGGAGTTCGTGGCGTTGGCGCAGCAAATACGGAAACGCCCACCCTAAGGCCGCCGTCACATGAGCCACACAATATTTCATCGCGCTCCTGGAGCCTCGAGCTCTCTTCACCCTCCAGTGACGTCAATAAGGAGGACGGAACTGTCTGGCCTGTTAAAAAGCCTTGTTCACAGTAATGCAGGTATCTGGCGTCGGCGGTCTTGAATGGCATTGATTGACGCTACAGCGCGCAGTGATGCGAAGGCGTGCTCACCTGTTTGTTGAGGATCGCCGTGCTGCGTCGTGTTTAGAACGCAAGCGCGCCTCGCAGCGGCGCCGCACTCAGATCGTCGCAGAAGAGCGGTTAGTGAGATCGCAGCGGACCTAGAACGCATAGCGGCGTCCCGTCTCCCGTGCGCAGCCGCGTGGTTTGTTCTGAAGGGGGGAGGGGGGAGGGGAACGCCGGCCGCGTGCCCTCGTGTTGATGGCCTCCTTTTGTTACCCTATTTCAAGGTCCAGTGAGCCGGGCGTAGCGCGTGCTGTTAAGACTCCACTTTGACGTTAAGAATGCCGCTGTCGGTGGCCGGCCCTGATGGATGGCGCGTTACTTTGTGATGTAGGTAAATAAACCACGAATGCCGTTTTCGCGGTATTGTGTTTCATGGCTCTGGTTGCATTCTCTGCAGCTATGTAAGCGAACAACAGGTAAATGGTCTGATACCGGGTTACGTCATTTTCTATGCTTTCCTCCGTTACCGATCACCGACACATAAGCTCGAATATAGGTCGTCAGGAAGCAAAAACTTCTGGGAGGACATGCATCCAGGCTATCCCAATATGAATCGCCCTTCAAATAGAGACGCGCCTTTCAGACTACAATTGGCTCTTGATGATCCCCGCTGTGGTTTGCCGGTTGGATAGCCGCCGGTCACTTAATGCAGTATGATAGTGTGGGGATCCCGTGCCATAATGCTGCCCCTTCGGTTCCACTGCTAACTCTGGGTCAGGTTTAGTATCAAGTGATTAGTTTTCTGTTTGAGTTCGGGGGAGTGCTCCCAAAATTCGGGAAAGAAGTGGCCCAAATCAGGTGACTTACCTGTTCTATAAATTTTGGGAGCGCATTTAGGCAATTTATATCATGTCTAGCCCACCCCCCCCCCCCTACACACCCACCCACAAAAACAACCTATTTAATGATTGTACGCCCTCTCATGTCTTCTCATTCGTTTCACAATATGCCAACCACATGCAGACAACACAGCGATCAACAAATTCATCTTGTAACCGCTGAATAGGCTTCTTGGAGAGCAAGAATATTATTGATTTCTGTCGGACTCACTGTTACAACACCAGAAAAAGAGCTCATGTGACCTTTAAAGTATCGACGAAAAGACAAAACTGGATAGTTGGAAAACTCGATAAATTGTGGGTTGGGCCATATCCCAGTGCAGGGGAGATTGGGAGATTGGGAGATGGATTGGGAGATGTGTGTCTGCGTCACCGTGAAAGCTAGAGCAAGAGCAAAAAGGAGAGAAAAGCCAGAATGCAAAGATGAGGAGAGAAAGAGAGAGAGAGGAGAGAGGGGGAAGAGAGAGAGAGAGAGAGGGAGAGAGAGAGAGAAAGAGAGAAAGAGAGAGAGAGAAAGAGAGAGAGAGAGAGAGAGAGAGAGAGAGAGAGAGAGAGAGAGAGAGAGAGAGAGAGAGAGAGAGAGAGAGAGAGAGAGAGAGAGAGAGAGAGAGAGAGAGAGAGAGAGAGAGAGAGAGAGAGAGAGAGAGAGAGAGAGAGAGAGAATGTTTGCTTTCAAAACTTATCGAATATTTCATTTCGGTGTCGAAGATACAGTGAGTCGTAGGGCCTTCACGTCAGAAGTTCACAAAGAGAAGTTGTTAGACGGTTGCCAAATGGAATTGGTGAACGAAAATACAAGAGCTGGAGCCATTACCATCACGCCCATCACAAAGCATTGGAGCACAGACCTTAGAGATCCAAATGGCCGACAAATGCAAATTGCGTTCAGCATTGCCGCCTTCAAACGAGCGGGTAACAGACGATAGAGCGCGCACGGCCGAGAAGTTTCGACGTGCTTCTCTGCTGAAGTTGAGCCCATCTGCGGTCGCTGAGGGGCTGCTGCCGGCCGTGCGTCTCTGGTGAAGTTGAGCTCATCCTCGGCCGCTGAGGGCCTGGTGCCGGCCGTGCGTCTCTGCTGAAGTTGAGCCCATCCGCGGCCGCTGAGGGCCTGCTGCCGGCCGTGCGTCTCTGCTGAACTTAATCCCATCCTCGGCCGCTGAGGGCCTGGTGCCGGCCGTGCGTCTCTGCTGAAGTTGAGCCCATCCGCGGCCGCTGAGGGCCTGCTGCCGGCCGTGCGTCTCTGCTGAAGTTGAGCCCATCTGCGGCCGCTGGGGCCTGCTGCCGGCCGTGTTCGGACGCGGGGCTGCCGCTGGGGCGGGGTGGTAGCTCGGCCTGGCGGACCTTGGTATCCAAGTCATCGACCGGCTAACCCCGACGGGTCTCAGCAGTCCACCCGCACAGCTGTTGACCTCATTAACAGATTGTTTCTCGACGGCGGTTGCATGAGCATAGGCTGTACCATGCAGTTTTGGACGGGTGACAAACCTCTAAACTCAGAGTTTGTAGAATTTTACATTATATCTCGAGGTGTTGATGGGAAGAAACAGCTAAAACACAAGGGTTGAGCCGTATCCTCCATAGTTCGACGCGTGGCAAAAACCATAGCTATGGCCATTGGCCCCACTACTCCACACCAGTGCTGGCAAAAGGCACAGTAAGATGGTAGCTGTACGAACGGACAAAGGTCCTGGCTCACTTACTTTCCACAAAAATTAAACACTGAGTATGTGCAAGGAGAGAGATGACGCCCAAAATGGTAAAAACCTCCCGCTTTTGGGAATCGGGACGATTCACTCTCCTATAGAATGTTACGCCACCACTGGAGCAAACATCGGTCTTCGGACGGGCCCACCATGGAAACGATGCATTGACTTGTCAAACGTTCCGTCGGCAGTGCTGGGAGGGAGGGGGGGGGGGGGGGAGGGGCGTGCGCTGCGCTGCTGCCGGGCCGCCGCTGGATGTTTGCGCGCCGCCGGCTGCCGCTGTCACGCCTGTCAACAAGAGCGAATTTATACTGAGTAGCCCATTGGTCAGCATACGAGCCAGATGATGTTAGCGCACGACTCGGCACGTTGTGACTCCGGTACACCCGACATAAACACACATTAATGTGAGCCACCGAGCTAGAATGAAGCGGGTGACTGGTTCATTGACGGGATGTTAGGTCCGGTCAGGCACCATGAACGGCTGGCTCCTCGTGCCAGTATGGTTGTGAGCCCTCAACCACATTACCCCAACTCCATCTTGTTTGCTTGTGACAATATTTAAGCGGGACAAAAACGGAACAAAGTGCACTGATGACACGCCCAACCGGCAAGGACCCAACGCAACGGGCAAATTACACTGGCAAGGTCCCACTGGATAACAAGCCTAGGAGCCCCTTCGGCCTTAACTAATACACACGGACTTCATGCATTTGACGCCCCACCACACTCACTCCAAGCACACACATACGCTGGCGCCCACGTCATCCCACTCATTCTTGACTTGTGCATGGACGGGACCCCTCCCCCCCCCCCCGCCTTCCAGCACCTTGACATTACGATTGGCCCGTCGGAACGTTGTTGAGCTTTATCACATGCTACACATCCAATAAAGACACGCCTCAGCCCTTTTTAAGATATATCAGGTTAATTGCATCAGCTTGACAGGGTCGCAGCTACTCGGCCGGTACCAGGTGTCCGAAGCTGGCCCAGCCCTGCAGGTTAGGCTGGGCTGGGCAGGGCTGGGCCGGGCGGGGCGGGGCGGGGACTAATAAATGCATGTGCATGCCCTATTTAAAACATATTAGGTTAATATATCAACCTGACACCAACGCAGGTACTGGGCCGGCGTCAGGTGTTCGGAGCTGGACGACAACTCGCTTCTTCGCCTGACCTCCAGGGTGACGGCTCCCTATTCGGTCGACGCTCCTCCGCGTCTCGTCCACGGTGGGGCGGCCCACCATTCCTTCGGCCACGCCCACCACTCACACCTTTCCGCTGCCGCACGCGCCTTAGGTAGCGCCTCGCCCAGCACGGAGACGTGGCCTCCGGCACTTCTGCGCCCTCACCTCCCGCCTGCCGGGACGAGCTTTGCAAGGCACCGCCCCACGGCGCGTCCCTCAGAGGCCTGGAGGTAGACAGCGCGACCGATGGGACGGTGGAGTCCCCTGGCAGAGGACGGGCGCCCGGCGTGACCTGCGTTCACGCCTTACGGTCTCCTCGGCCGGCGCGCTCTGGAGGCTCGGGCTGACCGGCCTGTCCGGCGACCCGATCCCTTGTCGCCCTCCCTATGAGCGTCGATGGCGGGACCTCTATTCGTCCCGAACATCCCGCCATCAAGAGCTTGCAAGGCCTGGCGTACACGACGTCGGTGGGGAACAGGCTGTGTCCTGTTCTCTCCCAAGGCATTGCACACCAATGGATAGACCCAGTCCCGCTGTGCACAATTCGTTATTCCGAGTGGTCCCCACTGGTCCCTGGTCATGCCATGACCTATGGCTCTTCATGCCGTCACCCCTGAGGTTAAGTGAGAGACAACGAAACAAGTCGACCGTCTCTTAGTCCGAAAAAGAGCGAAACCGCATCTCCGAGTCGTGCTACCCACAAACATACATCTACGTAAGAGCAGGACTGCGGTTGTCTGGTTCGACAATCCTGCCGAAGTTAAGCCGAAGAAGTAAGCCGTGCTGGTGGGGCGTGTTCCGCGTCAATCATTCCCCGGTTACGGTCCCCACATGATTCGATCTTCAATTCGCGGAATCGGTCAACAACTCGCGCAGCCTCGTAGATGCAGGTCGATCGGCTGAAGCGTCGGACCAATCCACGTTCATCTCTCAGCCTAATGGTTGTGTTTCGTGCTGCGGGGGGCGGGGGGAATTTCAGACCATGACCTGCTGGCTTCCTGTCTTACGCCCCGCCGGAAAGCACACTGATCTTGGGCGGGGATAACGCCGGCTTATCCTACCTGGTCGGGCGACACACACTGTTTCCCCGCTCGGAATCAGTCAACAACTGGCGCAACTTCGTAGATGTGCGCCGATCGGCTGGAACGTCGGGCCCATCCGCATCCATCTCTCCGCCTAATGGTGTGGTGTCTAATGGTGTTTGGTGCGCGAGAAATTCGGCGGAGGGAATTCCAGACCATGGCCAGTTTGCTTGTTGCCTTACGCTCCGTCGAGAAGCCCCATCGGTCCTGAACGGGCGGCAAGCAAATACAAAGCATGGAAATGTATGCCGACAGTTGCAATCCAGCCTACGCAAGTTCTCGCGTGACGACGTGGAATTCGACCGAAGTATGATGGCCACAACAGCAATGAGCTGCCTGTTAGGCAAACCGCCTCCGGTCGGCGCCGATAGGTTGGTGCGTGTTTGTACTCAGTGCGAGAACGCAAAGTTCATCTTCGCGTGAAGAGCTGTCCACGTGTACTACACACCTGGGATATAATTTGCATTGAATTGTCGAGTGTGTGTGTGTGAGGGGGGGGGGAGGAACGCTCCAACCGCGCTTACTACGGGCAGAAAGCGAACCAAACCC